AAAAAAAAAAAAAGGACGGTTTAATTAAGAACCTATGCAAGTGTTGGGAAAGGGAAATTAATCTACCTTTGCTTAGATTTGTTTCTCAAAGTCACTAAGAAATACTAGTCCAGGGCTAGCAAGATGACTTAGAAGGTAAAGCCTCTTGTTGCCAAGCCTGGAAACTCAGTTATCCCCGAAGCCCACAGAGTGGAAGACAACTGACTCCTGCAGGCTGTCCTCTGAACTCCCTGTGTGATACACACATATGCAGACATAGGTACACACACAATAAATGAATTAATTAAAAAAAAGAAATGGTTACTGCTGACCTAGTGGGTGGGCGTCTCTGTACCTGTTGTTGCCAGTAAGATATGAAGAGGCTAGTACTGATTTGATGTTTGGATCCTAAGAAGTGTGAGTTGTCGGTGAATGATAGTTTCAATGTGTCATCTTCATGGCAGATTTTATTTTCAATGAAAAGGATGTAAATTGCCCAATCTTCACAAGACACTTAGAGAATCGATGAGCGGTGTGTGTGCCTGTACCTTTGTGTAGGTAATTGTCTTAAATGCATGCTCGGACCTGACAGTTCCTTTATTGGATGTCTTTCTTGTCTTTCTTTGTGGACAGACATTTACAAAAATGTGTATAGTATTATAATCCATTGTGCTGGAAACCACCCAAATGATAATCAGTGGTGGAATGGCTAAATGAATCACAGGGAACAATTATATGTAACTTACAGTGAATAGCAGCTAATTGCATCTATATGTAAATATATAATATATGTTTATATATACAAATTAGGTAACAGAAGCTAGACACAGACGGGTGCACACTGGGTAATTCCATCCTTCCAAATATTATGCACCAAGTTTAACTATTGTCTTAGTTACGGTTTCTATCGCTACAACAAAACACCATGGCCAAAAAGCAAGTTTGGGAGGAAAGGGTTCATTAGGCTTACACTTCAGCATTGCTGTTCATCACTGAAGGAAGTCAGGACAGGGACTCAAACAGGGCAGGATCCTGGAGGCAGGAGCTGATGCAAAGGCCATGGAGGGGTGCTGCTTACTGGCTTGCTTCCCATGGTTTGCTCAGTCTGTTTTCTTGTAGAACCCAGAACCATCAGCCCAAGATGTCACCACCCACCATGGGCTGGGCCCTCCCCATTGATCACTAAGTGAGACAATGCCTTACAGCTCTGAAGCTCAAGGGCACTTCCTCAGCTGAGGCTCCTTCCTCTGATGACTCTAGCTTGTGTCAAGTTGACACATAAAACCAGCCAGTACAACTCTTATGCTCAGGGATCTATGTTTACATTGCAAAAGACTGGGTTCTATGAAAGCAAAGTTTCCTGCAGTTGGTAGAAAGAGCTCAGCCTTGAGAGGGGGTATTGCCGTGTTTTGTTTCTTTCCCTGGGTGATTATTATACAGACCTAACCCCTGTATTGTAATAATTCATTAAGTTGTACATTTGTGAGACATTTTTCTTTTTTATGATATTTTTATTTAGTCTTTAAAAGTTTCATATTTTTCGGGTTCTTCCAGCGTCGCCGCCATGAAGAAGGTGGTTCAGCAGCTCCGGCTGGAGGCTGGGCTCAACCGCGTGAAGGTTTCCCAGGCAGCTGCAGACTTGAAACAGTTTTGTCTGCAGAATGCTCAACATGACCCTCTGATAACTGGAGTGTCTTCAAGTACAAATCCCTTCAGACCCCAGAAAGTCTGCTCCTTTTTGTAGTCATGTATCTGAGGTTTCTCAAACCACTTTTCATGAACCAGTGAATATTCAAGAGAACTAAATTTGGAGTCTGTACAAAAGCTTCTCTATAACGCGTGCCATAATATACAATCTTCTACTTGTCAGATCTTAACATCTACCTCTCTGAATTTTCATGGATTTCTGTTTCACAAGGTTTAACTATTTTATATACACTGGCTGTAGCATACAATAAAACAGCATTAAAAAAAAAGAAAAAAAAAGAAAAAAATAGTTTCATATTTTATTTTAATTTCTATTTATTCTTTGAACATACCATACATGTATAAAATGTCTATTGTTCATACCTACCCTTTACTTCTCCCCCAAACCCCTTTACATCTCCCTCCAAACTTCAAGTCCTTCTGATTGATTGATTGATTGATTGATTTATATCCATTGAGTCAAACTAGTGATTCCCATATGTGCATGGGGTCATTGTTCATTGAGGCATGGAGAACCTGCCAGTGGCCACACTCCCCTTGAAAAGTGACTCATCCTTCCCTAGCAACTACCAACTGCCCATAGCTCCTCAGTTAGGGGTGGGGGCTTGGCATCCCTCTCCCGTCCATTCTGGAGTTGTTAACTGGCTTTATCTTTTGCAGGGACCCACAGCGGCTGTGAGTTTGTGTGCAATAATCATGTCCCATCCAGACAGCATTTCATAGAACGCCTCCTCATCCTATGGCTCTTACATTCTTCCATCTCCTCTCCCGCAAAGTTCCCTTGAGCTTTGGAGTGAGGCTGGGGGTTGATATAGATGGCCCACCGATGGTTTAATACTCATAGTTGATTATTTGGGGCCCTTTGAACTGAAATACACCTCTGCCCAATAACATTGTAATAAGAAGTGTCTCTTCTCTGGCTGTAAATACAAACATTTAGAAAGCAGTTGGACAATATGACCATTTTGAAGAACAGCATAAATACGTTCTTCTCTATGACTTCTGCAGCCTTGGGTTTGGGCCGTGTTTACAGTACAGGCTTGAATTCCCTCCTGTAGAGCAGGTGTCGGGTTGGGTTCAATCAAGAGAGCGATTGGTTACCGCATCAATAGTCTTTCCACTTTTGCATCAATAGCACATCTCGCCTGTGAGGTCGGTATTGTAGCATTCAGTGTCCAGTGCTAGATAAGACTATTGATGTGTTTTCTCTTCTAGAACCCTGCATAGCACTTCTGAGTGCTGTGAAAGCTCTCCAGGAGGGAAAGAGACTCTGGGTCAGTTCAAGATTAAGTTTTCTATGTCCTGCAACTGGTGTGTGGTGTCTTCAGCAGTAGAGATTTACCATTGAGTTATGATGGGCATCTAAGAGCACTGACAATGGCCTTTGTGGTTTGGGGTGTTTCAGGGGAAGTAACTCATGCCTGGCACCGATATTTTCATAATTCATGTCTTCTAAGAGAAGTATTGTTCACTGATGTGGGGAATGTCCGTTCAAAGTCTTTAAAAAACACACATGTACCCCTATATATAATGTATATTACTTATTATGTAATACATATAGTACATTTGTTTGTGTTTGTAGTACGTTTCATAAGGCTTTATGCACCCTTACTTTTGGTTAACCCGCCTGCTATTTCCCCTTTCTCCCACTACCCCCAAGTGAACCTTCAGCTCCCAGTGGTCTCCCCCATTCTCTCTCACCACATATTCTGTCCCCTCTTACAGTTTCTGACTTGGATTGCGACATCATAGGTTCCCCAATAGCTTCTTCACGTGTACTTTAGTCTGTCCAAGGCCCCTCATTTCCGCATGTCCATCACTTCGCTATGTGCTTGAGCGCCTCTGCACCCAGAGTTACCCTTCTCTCTCACTTCACCTGCATCCCCTTCACTAAATGCACCTCCTTTACAACGGCCAGTTTCTGGTTTCCTAGTTTCCACATGTAGTCCATATTAAACACACAAAAAAGATTTGGAGATAAGGCCCTCAGGCAACAATTATCTTTTGAGTTTGAGTGACTTCACTCAGTATAATTTTTTTCAGTTCTATCCATTTATCTGAAAATTTCATAATTTAATTTTTAACAGTTATGTAATAGTTCATATTGTATATGTACCGTATTTTTGTTATCCATCCATCCATCAGTTGATGGACATCTAAGTTTATTTCATTTCATAGTTATTGTGACTAGAATGGCAGTGAACATGTATGTGCAGTTATCTCTGTAGTAAAACATGAAGTCATGTGACTATATGCCCAGAAGTGGTATAGCTGGGTTATATGGTAGACCATACATACAACTACATTTATCCACCACTTTCTCCCTCCAACTCTACCTAGTATGAGAGGCATTTTCCTACATGAACATTTCAAGTTAAAATATTTTAAGACACCATTTTATCTTTTATCCACCTTATTGAAATATAAATCTGTATGTATCATCTGTTCAATCAAGTGAAAATAATTTTTATTTACTCAATGTGGGCAGATATACAGCCAAGCTCAAAATCCAGTTAGATTTCTGGCTTCTTGTAACCATATACCAGTCTGTCTGTCTGTCTCCCCTTCTCTCTCTTTCTTTCTCTTCTCTCTCTCCTTCCTTCCTTTTCTACCTTCATTTTTTTCTACATCTGGTCTGTAATTCACTACGTAACCTAGGCTGGCCTTGAACTCATGGCACTCCTCCTGCCCCAGCCTCCTAAGTGCTAAGATTGTAGGACTAAGCCACCACACCCAGGTCCATGATCTCCTTTGTATTCAATTAATACAGTACTTTTGTGCAGAGTGATTACTCTAATAGTGTCGTTTAGGGGATATAACAACTCATATTTATAGCTACACTCTATATCTAGGAAGATATTTACTATAAGGCATTGATTCATGGGACTGTAGAAGCTTAGATGTCCCAGAATTTGCCCCCTGCAGACTGAAGGTCCAGAGAAGGTGTGGTTTGAAAGCTGAGGACTGGGTCTCCAGTGGGATTGATTCCAGTCTGCATTTAAAAGCCTGAAAACCAAGAGCACCAATGGCAGGAGAGGGTGCTGGGGTTGCAGGTACTCACCACCATGCCTGGCCTTTACATGGGTGCTGCCATCTGCCTGTCTCTGCTCCCTTCCCCATGCTGGAGCTGCAGGTACTCACCGCCATGCCTGGCCCTTACATGGGTGCTGGGATCCAAACACAGATCCTCAAGCTTGTTCTGCAGCTACTTTACCAACTGAGCCATCTGGCCAGCCCTACAACTGTAATCCTTATAGTCATGGTATTCGCTGCAAAATTAAATGCACAAATGAAAACACCATACTGAAACTAGTTTGTACAATTAATATGATAAAATACAGTTTTTTTTAAAATGATGTGAGTTGGAGCTCACAGGTTTCAACAAGATCATCTGGCACCTTCCTTTCTCTCCTCTTACCTTCTTCCTATGGGACTTTTAGTTTGCTGTTTGACTTTCCCAATGTATCAGGTCTAGAAGCTTCTAAAGTTTAAACAAGTTTTCAACACTTGATATTTCTTCTTTGTAATTTGACCTCGGAAAAGTGGCTTTTCTTTGTATATATGAATCTTCCTTTTCTCCAGCATGGGTCAAATAAGAAAATTCCTTCTGAAAGTTCTCTCTTTGATCTACCTGAGATACAAGAAGTCACACATCCTGCAGAGACGCGTTGTTGTCCACAGATATTCAAGGGGAAGGGAGCAGAGGCCAACATCAGAAATAATCCAATTTTAAAGATATCAAACAAATAGAAAACCAAGAAGGATAGCAGCTTTAGAGACAGGAGGATGGCAGAAGACGAAGCAGGATTATAAAATGAAAATTAATCTTCTACTCAGGGTCCAAAGAAACCCCACTTCACAACAAAAGTCATGTTGTATTGACTTCAGTGTTTTCCATTTGATCCTTTCTTGCTAGCTTGGTATTCAGCATCTCAACCCACCATGGAAGAGCGCCCCACCCCCACCCCACCCAACTGTAGAAGCAGAGGCTGAAGATGTGTGGGTGGGTGTCAACTCTCACATTTACATTCAGCAAGCAAGATTAATTGAACAGAATTTTCTTCTCTTTAGATTTTCTTCTTCTTGCTGTTTTGGTTTTAACCAGACTGTGAAACAATGGTAACACCAAGAGCAGTTAGTTATATGCCAGGTGCTGGGCAAAGAGCACTTAACAACGACCATCACATGTAATCTTTTTTAATAACCCCCTGGAGTGCATAGGCAGTTTCCAAGATGGCTCCCAGTTATCCCGAATCCCGATATTTATGTCCTGTTGTGGGATGATCTGCTTGGCCAGATGTGTAAATGATCGTGTGACTTTCGGATTGAAAGTGACATTGTATTTATGCTTCTGCATGAGCTCTTACATTGCTTATGCCTGTCTCTATGCTTTGGGGACACTCAAGCAGTCCTGATGAAGAGGTCTAGGAGAGGGGGGATTGAAGCCTTGCATTGATAACCAGGCCCGACTTTCCCGCTCTATGAGTGAGCCATCTTGAATTTTTTAACCCTCGTGAAGCCTTCAGATTATGCAGCCTCGGTTCCATCTTTGACTACAACATCACAAGAAAGCCTATGCCAAAATCACCCGGCCAAGCTTCCTACAAACTTTCATTGATAGCCCTAGTTCAGGGTCATGTAAGCAGTGTTGTGTCCTGTATTGGGGAGCAGTCTGGTATGCGGCCGTGGGCAACTATAGACACTTTTGTCATTGTCTTTACTGAGGTCCAAGGAGATTAACTTCCAGCTATAAAGACTCCAGAACCTTTGGGCCTAGTAGAAATGAGAGTTCACCGGGGATTTGGTTTATCTTCTTTTTTTTCCTGAAAATAAAAAAATAACTTCTAACTGGGGAGAAGCATTTTTGTCTATCAAAGCTCTATTTGTTAAAATGCGATAGAAGGGTGTGGGTTAGTGAAATATATCATAAGTGTGAAATGCAGTGTTTGGCCCCAAAGATGTTTCAAATTAGTTTAGTTCATATATTTCTTACTGTCTAGAAAGGATTTTAACATTTGTGAGAGTTAATTTTGGAGG